TGTGTGTGTGCGCGCGCGCGTGGTGGGTGGCGGGCGGGTGGGGCGACCCCTCCCCCACCACTCAATCAATCAATCAATCAATCAATCAATCAATCAATCAATCAACAGAAAAAAAAAAAAATAAAAAAAAAATGCGTTCATTTTTTTTTTCTTTCATTTCTCCTCGTTCGCTGCCCAACCCCCCCAACCAAAAGATGTTTTTTTTCCATTTTTTTTTTGTGTGGAGGGCTGGAGCAGGGGTTGCGCCGCCGAATGGTTGTTCCCGAATCCCGAGACCCCCTCCCCTTTGGCTGCCACGTGGCGCCAAAGCCGCGCGTCCGCGGGCTCGCGGCCTCGTCCGCGGCTGCGGACTTGGCCGCGCTTGTCCGCCACCGGGGGTTATTCATAGACGCCATACGATTTGCCATGAAGTATTTTATAGATTGCTGTTAGAAGGGTGATCGGTCTATAGTTCCTGATATATTCATTTTATCCCCCTTTTTGTAAAGTAACGACAGTACCCCTTTTCCCACTACTTCCCCCATCTCCCCAACTTCCCATACCTCCTTGTAGTAGTCCCACAGGTCCGAGCTTAAGTCCGTCCACATCGTTTCCCAAAACTTTTTATGGAAGCCATCAATACTTGGGTTTTTTTCCTCCTTCAATTCGAGAAGCGCAGCCCATACTTCATCGTAGTCAAAGTCTCCTCCAAACGGTCGCGTTGTTGCGGAGAAAGGTCTCTGTCCATGGGAAGTAAGAATTCTTCGAGTTCTCTTTCTCATACTTTCGAGAAGCGCAGCCCATACTTCATCTTAGTCAAAGTCTCCTCCAAACGGTCGCGCTGTTGCGGAGAAAGGTGTCTGTCCAGAGGAAGTAAGAATTCTTCGAGTTCTCTTTCTCATACTTCCCCCAGCGAGGTCGGGATTTGAGAGATGTACAATTGTTTGAAAAAATCCTTGTGATTAATGTACAATGAGCGGTATCGGTTGCAATAACCTCCTCCCTGCCGTCTGGTTCATAGAGTGCCTCAATTACGGTCCTTCGCGCACGGGCCGTAACCATCGCGAAGAAGTGAGTGTTCATCGTGGCTTCCTGGGTAAACTTGGCCATTTTCCCTTGAATTCTGATTCCCTGCCATCTATGTTGTGCGTATCTTAACAGTTGATCATTTACTCTCTGAATGGAAATGGTGAGATGCTGTGAATCTTCATGTTGTTCCAGGTCTAGCAATTCCTTGTGAATACTCAATTCTTGTTGATAGCATTGGACCGCTCTGACCTTAGAGAATTACTTGCACTTTTTAGCCAGGAAAAATAACCCATTATTGAACTAAGTAGAGACTGAATCAAAGAGATGCTTTTGGTGGCGCCAAAATTGCCATTCAAGTCGAATCATCTGTCTAAATGGGTCATCCCTTAAGAGGAAGGTGTTAAGTTTGTAAGATCCCGACCCTTGATCCGACATTTTCCTTATTGTTAATATTAGCCCACATGTCTTGTGATACAGTCCTGGGAACGGGCTGCGTGGAACGATGGATGACCAGCGAAATGCCCCCTCCAGGTCATTGGAAAGAAAGATAAGGTTTATTCGTGATTTGGATAAACGTGTCGCGTTGCGGTCTCTTATGCATGTAAAGGATCAGTCCTGCGGGTGCAGCCGGCGAAAGGTGTCGAAAACCAAGAGATTTTCACAAAATTCTGATATCAGTTGCTCGTCCTCTACCGCAGCGAAAGGGAGAGTCTCCTGGGAAAACCATCTATCTAGTTTTTCGCCCGGAGTGGCGTTGAAATTGCCTGCTACGATCAGGGGAATGCCCTCGGGGACTTGTGTTCCTAGTAGGAAGGCCCTTTGTCCATTGACTGTGTTGGACGAGTAAATGCAAAGGATACAACGGTGTTTTCGTTAAAAGTGGAATTGTTTTCATGTTCACTTTTTATTTTAATTGTAAAATGACACAAAGAACTGAGGAAAAAATAAGCAAACAACGATAAAACAATAGTTATACATGAAAGCTGTTGAAGGAAATAAAACACAAATTTTCACCTCGAATGTTCACACGTACACAAACATTGTCGAAATGTCAATCCACTCAGTAAACATGTCACTCAGTTAAACACGCCAACCTCATCAATAATTAATGAAAAGTTGTAGGAAATGTCATTATAGAACATATTTTCAAAATTGCCTACAATACACATTCTCACCGGGAATGTTCACACTCAGTAAACATGTCAATCTCATTTTTCCAAACCTAGAACCTGAAATTCTCAATGACTTTCCTATCTAACCATGGACAAAATGTCAAATGTTATTCTAAGTCTCATATCAGGAATACTATCTTGTGAGAAACCGAACAGAGGGAAGTGACCTTTTACAAGCAAAGATGCAAAACCCAACATAAAAACACTACAACTACAAGGATCCTCTTGAGCAGGCATCCCATCTACTGATGTATCAAAGTAGGACGTAGACTCCTCCACATTATATTTTTCCTGAAGATTTTGTCGATGAAACTCCGCTCTGGAAAAACCTTCCAAAAGTTCAAGGACTGGACCGTAGTCAACACGATGGAGAGAGTCTACAAGGTGGAATTTACACTCAGAGCGATCTATACTGACATAAGCTAAGGCCCAATGATTTCCGAAATGGAGAGGGATAATTACTAAATCGAAATCGAAAAGATTTATGTCCTTCACCGATCTCGTCCCTTCGGAGTATGCGATTTCAGTGGACTAAGCCTTTGACAATCTGGGAAAGAAAAGTTAATTTAGAATATGCACAGATGAAATGCCACAAGAACTTTCATCTCTTGCCATTTCTGCACATGTCGAATCCACCTTGATGTAGTCATTGGTGATCTGAACGACTAGCAAGTACAAATTGACAACTTAATTATTTAACCATTCCCCATCCTTGGCGGCGACCATGATGTCTTTCTTTTCCACCTTCCACCTCCCCTTGTAATCAACAATGTCGTATTCTTCATTGTCTTCAGTGTTGCCAGTAATCATTTCAAGATACTCCTTTTCTTCTACAGTAAGGCGTACTGTTGCTAAAAGAATCTGGAACGAAAGGTTATGCACTGCATACAAACACACATATAAACAACAATAGAGCGACTAAGACTTCACACAAAAATGAATTTTTCGTCAAGTGATATACTACATAGACATAAGCTCATGTTGTTAGTTGTCTATCTGTTTCGCTATCAGTGATGCTATCCATAACAGATAAACTGCAACCTACGCGATGCAATTTCTTCCCTTCTGTGAGACTTATTCCAACAGCTTTAAACATCCTTAGGGCAACTAGCTTCACCGATGGAAATGTCATGGGTGTACGACTTCTTCTCTCATTTTTGGGCAACAACGACAAAGTTGATAAAGCTTGCAAGCCACGACGAATGATATTTTCTCTCTTCCTTTGCGAGTGTACATGTGTCGTTTTCCGCAGTTCTTTTCGTCGCCCTGCATGATTGACAAGATAAAATATTATGAGTTCCACGTTTGACTTTCCATTATTGAAACTGACTCAGGAATACCAATACAAAATATATGGTAATTGCACTTTATACAAAACACATGCAGCAAACGCACAGTTCCAAAGCTAGGTAAAGAAACTATACATCTGAGGGATCGACACTATCACAGAAAGGGAGATGAGTGCATGTGATGTACCCACTAATCCGCATATAGTATTAGATATATTCCTCCTAAGATAAGAAAGTGCTCACCTCGATGACTAACTCTCAGTTTACGCGACTTTCTGTCACACCTTCCATGTGCAACGACGCAATAGGATATTCCTCGATAGCTATCACGAGGTTAGCAGACTGTGGTGTTTGAGGTTGTTCAAGCGTTTATTGAGGTTGTACAAGTGTACATTGTTCCGGTGTACTTAGTACTATATGTCCTTCATCCTCTTCGATGCCCTGTACATGGAGAGTGTCTTCCTCCTTTACGCCCTCAAAAGTGTCCTCAAAAGTGTCCTCAAAAGTGTCGCTTGCACCTATAGTTGCATTTCTAATATTCGTATTCAGAGAGAGTTTTTAACTTCCTCCGACAAAGTATTTACTTCGGCTGGCATCGTCGACGACGGCATCTGTAATTCTGTGAGTGTACCAGTAATATCTATTTCCATAGCGTCATTGTCACCCACTAGCATCGTGGTCACCCAAACTTGGTCAGCTGTACTTACGCCCTTGCCACTCACACCACATTTTTGCCCCGAAGTTTTGGCATTCGCACCGGCGATCGATTCCCATTGCAGTGTCGGGTCAGACTCGACCACGAGTTTCTCCGCTCGGTCAAGCTGGGAGCGCTCCAATAGTGGACCCCTTTCGTGTTCGACCCGACCGTGTGACCCTTTGACAGGTGAAACAACGCCGACTGGTCTCGAAGCCTTGCCACTTGTATCGGCGAGTGATTTCGATCCCACTGTCGGGTTGGACTCGACCGTGAGTTTCTTCGCTTGGTCAAGCCGCGAGCGCTCCAATGCTGGACGAGTGTCGTGTTCGACACGACCATGTGACCCTTTGACAGGTGAAACACCGCCGACAGTTGAACTACCCCCGCTTGGTCTCGAAGCCTTGCCTGTTGCACTGACGATCGATCCCGATCCCACTGTCGAGTTCGACTCGACCGTGAGTTTCTTCGCTTGGTCAAGCCGGGAGTGCTCCAATGCTAGGCCACTGTCGTGTTCGACTCGACCGTGGGACCCTTCGATAGTTGAACCACCGCCGCTTAGTCCCGAAGCCCTGCCCTGCGCACCGCCGCTCGATCCTGATCCCTTGTCGCTTGCACCGACGCTTGTTGTCGGACCCTCGGCACTTGCACTGGTCCCTTGCCCTTTCCATGCCGATCCCTTTCCATGCCCCCCGCCGCTTGATCCTGATCCCTTGCCCTCTGTTGCTTGACGCCCCTGAGACCTTTCGATTTTTTGCAGTTCCCCACGACTTGCGTCCTTGCCGCTTGAACCGTCGCTTGGTCCCGGACCCTTGACACTTGCACCGCTCCCCGATCCCAATCCTTTGCCATGCGCACCTCCGCTCGATCCGGATCCCTTGCCATGCGCACCACCGCCGCTTGGTCTTTTCCTCTCCCCTTCTCTGTGCTTAAGATCTTCTTTGACATGCCAATTATATCCATAAGCCGGACTGGTTTCTCTATCATAGAACTCTTCCAGATACTCAAGCCACTGCGATGTTTTGAACTCTTGGAAAATTTCTTCTGTTCTTACATCTTGTCTTGATTGAGAAACCTCCGGATTAAGTCGCAGGAGTCGCTTGGCAATCTGATTATTGGCGTGTTTGAGAAAGTTCGATTCTGACATACTTCTGTGGAGGCAAAACTGCGACTCCCCTTCTTCTTTTATAGCCATAACTCATTGCCCTCTCGCCAATGCAGGTTGGAAGTGCTGGGGGTGTCATATAATGTGATGACCCCATGTGTCATCATCCGTCACCGTATGATCGTCTCGGCATACTATAGGCCCCAGAAGCAGCGCAATGTCCGCAGGGATTCTGTCTCCAATCTCGTACTCCACAGACTCATCATGTGAAGGTTGTTGTGGAGTTCGAGAGCGTAGCAATTCCATAACAGTACTTGGGCTGTTTGCAAATGGTAACAAACTTGCCAACAACTCTGGGGAGCGCATTGCTTGAAGCTTCGGATCCTGAACGCCTCCGGATGGCACCGTCATCGTATTGTCCGCCATCCGAGTAGGTGTAACAATAGAAGAAGTCGGTGGCCGAGTCATTAACGGATCCGTTGAAACCGCCATGCTCGAAGCTCCTCTAGAACCAGACGATGTGCCTAGAACACCCATTCTCTACGAAGCCGAGCTACAGGCTCTTTGCCTCTCAACTGCCAAAGCCGCTTGCAAAGTGCCATCAACACTCTCTTCTTCTGAGTCGTCGGCACAAAGTCCTCACCATGCGCAAAAGAAGTTGCATAACCTGCGATTGTAAGCGCCCCGATTTGTTGGTCGAAGTACATTGTCTGCAAACGGTCGAGGAATGCAACTTCCCTCTCTGATGGCGCTTTATGATAACCCCTCAAAAGCATCTCTACTTTTCTTCTTCTGAAAACATAAGTACGTTCCCCTCTGTGTTGCGACTTTTTTTCGAAAAGAAACTCCCAAATATTGACCATGTTTTGGCCAATCTTGTAGACGAGATCACGCCCTTCATCATGTCGAGGGGGCGGCTTAATAAATTTGGCGAAGTAATCTCGAGTTCCGACCATCTTGTTAATGAACTGAGTGAGGAACTCAAACTTCATACTCTCCCCTTCCAGCACAATGCAATGACGGTAACTTTTAACAACTCCCAAACCAATGCCGCATGACCTTTTCCCAGGAAAACGACAGCCTCATCCGCAGGACAAAAATGTTCCAATGTCTCCACCATCGCATTTTGCTCCCTTTCCATACCATCATAGACAACTTTTTCCTTTGGTTCCATACCTGCCATTTTCCACTTTGTTGTCGGAAAGTTTTTCACCACGACATCAACCAACATCTTCAGCTTTCTCTCTCTCCGCACAAGTGCTGATATGTCAGCCACCTGTTCGGCAGACGATGGACCTGCAGCTTGAATATCTTAAAACAAGGGAATAATGTTGTGATGATAATCCTTGTCGTTGGAGAACATGATGACCATCATTTTGTCTTTGTCCTCCAAAGGCAAGTTTGCAACCCTATTTGTCAATTTCCCCTTTGTTTGTTGTTGATGAGTCCATTTCAGAAGATCCAAGTGAATGTCCCACCTTTCCTCTCGCCTGAAGAATGTGAACTCGCAAGAGCGTGGAACGAAGCACAACAATGTCCAATACTTGCCGCCAAGCTTTTCCATGAACTTCCAGAGTCCGTCAAACACTTGTTCAGTCCACGTACCCATGTGGGTTGGGCGACACAAATCCAGGATGGCTGTGTGGCACGTCAGATGTCTGACGGCTCTATACATCTCTTTGCAATCCATCTCGTCTGAAACATCGCTCGGTTCCCATTGGAACGGCACGAAGACAGATGGCACGTCCTGTTTCTGGAAATGTATATATTTTGTTTGTCCCGACATACGAATGTTTCGCGAACCCCCGGTTTCGGATCTGGCAACAACTTGTTGACAAATTGAATGAACTCTTCGGGGCATTTCTCTGCAAGCGATTTTGTTTTCTTGAAGCCCTCTTTTCCTTTCTCGTCCTGTCCTCCAAGTGTAGCCGAAAATGACCGCATCCAGCTCATGTCTTTGAAATGTTGTCGCTGGTCAATCCACCTCTCTGATGTCAATCCTTGATCACTATACCTAGCGAACACATCAGAAAGGTTGTCGAAGAATGGTTCCTTCCACTCTGACGGCTTCTTGTGAGGGTCAGAAATGAAGACAAAGTAGTGAAACATTCTGAACATTGCTCTTTCCAGCTTCACAATTGCCACGTATGTCTCCATCGAATGTTTCCCGGCAGTGTAAGCAACTTTACTTAGCCTTGGAGCTAGTATGACACTGCTCGCGAGAATGTCTCGCAACAGTTGAAACCGCTCACGCCTCCCCAACGTAGACATAACCTTCCATGATCTGACATCCAGATCGTGCACAGCCACGAGGTAACCAAGTTCTCTAGTACCCTGAATCCAGTGCACTGGAACCCTGACTCCTTTTACCAACTCGAATCCGGGTCCAGGTCTCGGCGCTTTCCCCAATTCACCTTGTTTGGTGGCAGGCTTCACAGCATCTCTCCCCGACAACTGTCCACTCTCCCAAGCAGAATACACTTCTCGCACCTTGTCAAACACTTCTTCTGTCGCCCTTGCCAATATCATGTAAGGCCCAAGGAAGTCGGACCATTCCTTGGTCCAACTCTTAAGCGACAGAGTAACTAAATGATCAATCCCGGTCGAGCAAAGGGCCATCGCTGCAAACTCTCTATACTCCTTATTTTTGGCGTCTGCAGCAGATCCGCCTATGGCTTCAGGACGACCGGCTGCCAGCCACAACTTTCGTATGTCCTGAATGACAGCAATCTGGTGTGGAGGAGTATTCCATTTGTCTTTCGCATTTTGGAAAGTGCTCAAGGTGCCGTAATTATCCATGGTCCTATCCGGATAGTAAACAGGCCTTGCAGTCCAGTAATCCAAACGGAGCTCACGGGCGATGTCAGGGCGCTCTTGAAAACATTTCCTTCCCGCCGCAACATTACGTTGACCACTGAGAGGGTACCAGTAGTAGTTGCGCACGGATTGGAGATCGAATTCGCCGGGTGTCACTCTTCTTGCTCTCACATTTGTTCCGGAAGCGTCAGTATGCATCGTATCATGTAGCCCAACCAACAAAAGGACAGGTTTCTCATATAATGTACATACATTCACCCCGGCGGCTCCAGTCGTTCTCTCTGTGATAGTTGCCTCTCCCGATTCAACCATTGCGTCGTAAATGTCATCAATATGTTGCTGACCGAGAAAACGTTGATTATATCTGAACTCCTCCTCAGGGATATCTAGAATCCTATCGAACTTGACAGTAATGAACTGTATTTCCGGCCTTTGGTTACCATTCTCGTCGAACTCAAGGAAGAAGTCTTTGCTCAGATGACCAGAAGAATTATCAAGCGGCAGAATCTGCAAACTGGGCGGTCTGGTGACTGTCTTGCCCACATCGTCTTCATCCGACTGTGGGTGGTCCGCCGGAAAAACGAAAGTTTTTTCCATCACACCTCTCTTCGCTGTTTTTTTCCTTCGCTGCCGTTTTTTCTTCATGGCCTCCTCAGCCTCCCGCGTACGCCGGACCGCCTCATCAACAAGCAGCAGTTTCAACTTGCGTTTGTGACCCTCCTCCTGCTTGGTCCCCCCCTCCTGCTTGGTTCTCTTACTGTCCAAAGCACTTCTCCTCTCTTGTCTGATCTTCCTCTTCTTCTCAGCCAGCCGTGCTGCATCGGTATGCACCGGCACGACCGTCACTTCGTGGTGCATTCCCCCGCGCCCTCGATCCGCACCCCAATGCCCATGTCTCGACGGGAGCCGTTGTGCATACCCTCCCTCTCCGGTCGTTTCCTCTTCTTGCCCTTCATCCTCATATTCAATCCCTAGACCACCCTCCAATTCGCCTGGACCACCTCTCTCGCTGATTGTCTGCTCACTCTCTACTTCCGCTTCTTCCCCATGCTCCACGCTGTCATCGCCACCCTCCTCATGTTTTTCGCATTCTTCATCGCCCTCCGAATCCTCCTCACTGTTCTCCTCGTCGTCATCTTCAAAATATTGCGCCCGGCTTGGAATGTCGAAGTCATAACGTGGTGGGCAGACCAAGGAAACGGGTTCCTTGGTTGATGTTGTTCTAGACTTCACAGGGGCTGACAACACGATTTGGCCGCGACACGGACCTTTCTCCCCGATCTGCCCAAATTTCGAAACTCGCGTTGCAGCACCTGGAGTCCGAAGGGATTGCAGAAAAGGGCGGATACCTATAGTGATTGGTCTCGACGAGGGAGCCGCCTCCAAGGATGACGAAAGCACGTTTTTCGGCTTAGATATGCGGTCGGCAGCTTGCACCACCGGCTCGTGCCCTGCGACCACATTACTGTCGAAGAACGCGAAAACCGTTGGAAGGTCCGGCAACGTCAATTTCTTCGTCCCGGGCGGATTGAAAATATCATAAAGCTTCTTGTCGTACTCAGCGTGTTTGGCCCAACGAAAAACAACGCGTTTGACATTTGTCATCCGCTCACCTTTAGCGTTAAGGACCATCGTCAACTCCAACATGGCGAACTGTGAATGTCGTCCACTCCACTTCACCACACCGCCGATCGACAAAATGTTATCTTTGATTAGCACGTACAGAACCAGTCCACTCGAGGGTTCCCCGATTCCACCCACCCAGTCCAACATCCAACACTTGTCTTTGTGGTCGACGATAGGCACCTCGTCTCCCACACCTGCAACGGACGTTTCACCAGACCTTCTACGCCTGGGCACAACGTCCATCGCAGATTTTCCTTGCCGACCACCAGTCACCTCCTGTTGACCCAGCCCCGCCACTCATCAACACAGCCGCATCCGGTCCAGAATCGCGAACACGAGTGGAAGGAGCGCCCGCAGAAGGCGCACCTCGCAGCACCGGGGTTCACTGGACCTTAGACCCTGGTGTCTCATCAGTCCCCATGCCAACGGTTGGTGTCCCCTTCGTTTTTTTCGGAGATTGCTCCATGCGCCCGAAACTTCTACTAGCACGTCGTTTGCTTGGCTTCCCGTCCCGATCCATGTCGAGAAGCTAGTCGCAGCTGAAAGAAAACGCACAAGTGCGAAAGCGGTCATTGCCTTGCCGATGTGCAAACACCTTAGTAATCGAGAACAGCAATAGACAGGAACACACAACAACTGAACCAGGACACTGACTACCGTCGTTTCGAACTCGACGAACAAAGTCGGACACGAGGACAGACAGGAACACACAACAACAGAAGCGGGACACTGACGACCATTGTTTCGAACGAGACGAACAAAGTCGGACACGAGAACAACAGCGGGGTAATACAGCGCGACTATCATGTCGAGCACGACAAACAGCGCACGGCAGACCGCAATGTCGTTGTCGTGTCGAACTCGAAGGTCAGAAACGGACGTCATGGCACGACCGCCGAGCCCGACACGACAAACAGCGGACGACACATGTCGTGGAAGAACGACTTCCACAGTCGACCAACTCGTCATCGTGTCCGACTCGACGGTCGGAAGCGGACGTCATGACACGGTCGCAGCGGGGCAACACAGCGCGACGGCCGGAGTACTCGACAATCGTGTCGTGATATCCGCTTCCGACCATCAAGTCGACACGACGACGAGTTGGTCGACTATGCGGGGTGTTCGACCGTCGAGTTCGAAACGACAGTGACACTGTGGTCTGCCCTGCCGTGCGTTGTTTGTCGTGTTCGAGAGGATGGTCGCAGGACGGTCGTCGAGTTCGACATGACAATGACGCTGTGGTCTGCCGTGCGCTGTTTGTTGGATTCGACACTATGGTCGCCAGACGGTCGGGAGATGTTCGTGGAAGAACAACCCTCACGATCGAGTCGGACATGACGACAAACACAAGCCGACATCGTGTGGTCACGACATTATTGTCCGAGCTTTTGCACCGCATGAAGACTCAGAGCTTTTTCGAAAGGAAACACAACATGAGAAAACCATCCAGACACTTCGCACTTTTCGCCCAATGCGAAGTCCATGTATATGCAGTCCGAACAAATGGGAAGTCACGATGTGTCGATGTCGAACGCTACACTGAAAAAACAGAACAGCAATCAGACACTTTTTACTGGTACAACTACACGCTTATTCGTACTTGGTTTTTAAGTGCTTGCTCCGAATCAGTGATCCTCGTCCACGTGTCGTCATAATTCCCGGATTTCAGTAAATCGAAAAACAAGATCAGGACAACAACGACACACTGCGGATTTTTCCGCACCGCGTATTTTTCGCAACAGAACACAACATGAGAACAACTAGCAGACACTGCACATTTTTCTCAAGAAAACACATCATGAGAACAACAATCGGACACTCCGCACATTCCGCTCAATGTGAAGTCCATGAAAATTCAGTCCGAACAAACGGAAAGGCAACGATGCGTCATTGTTGAACGCACAAGAAAATTAAAAAAACCCTCGACATCGGTCTCGACACATCGACAAACTTGCGAAAGTGCCACACGTCGAAAAATGTTGAACGGCAAAGGGGACCGACAAAAGCTATCCATCGACTATGGGGAACTCTCCCACCATTGCGGCCTTTCAATACGCCGACGTAGGCCATCTATCGACTACGGGGAACTCTCCAGCCGTTGCGGCCATCCAACACGCCAAGTGCCGATCCGAAGGTCAGCTGCTGCGCCGTCTCAGCAAACACCGAAATGTATGTCATGCGCACGAACCTGGAGTTCCCGATGAGAGAACCGCCTATTGCATCCCGAATAGAAACGACTTTAGTCTCGACCTCGCGCCAAGCGCCGACGTCCTCCACCTTGCCACCGACCACGATATCCAGTCTCCCATCGACCTCTCTTTGAACTAAACACATACCCCTTCCGGACATAGACAACTCGTTCCTGGACACATACACGACAACGTCTGTCAAGTTTCTTTCCCTATTCGAACAGGCAATGCAGAGCACCCTACAGAAGATGAAGCACCCCAGACGCAATCTCACACAACAATACGGCACTGCTCTAGGCAACAGACCCCGAGATCGCATGGATAATGATCGAGGAACTGTGAATGACGTGCACAGTCGAGTAACTCCTGTTTCATAACACGGCACCATGTACGCGGTGAGGTTGTCACGTATTCTCAATCCAAAACATCGTTAAGGTGGGTAAATTTTAACTTTTTACACAATCGACGCAATTGCACGGGACCCAACACATCTGAAGGCACAACAATACGTTTCCCGAATTCCCACATATTAGCGAACTCATAATCGCCCGCCCACGGGCATCTCTCCGTCATGTTCACTCACTCATACTCCTTCCAGGAATTCAAATGTTTGTCGACAAACGAGACGATGCTTATCCAAGGATCACACTCGAAGTCTTCGGGACTAGCGCCGGCAAAGGTTGTGCTGCCCAGACATTGTCGGACGTGCAGCGCGCAAGGTGGGAAAGGGTGTGTCTTCCGTGCACGCCATAGCCACAGTGAAGCGCCCTGCACGGTATAAGTGCAACGATCAACAGCAGCATAGAACAATTGTCCCACCCCCCCAACGATGCAATCAAACCAGGCCGCACGACATTACACTGCACACAATCCATGCGCGCAATCCATGCCCACAATCCACGCACGCAACACGTACACGACGTTCGTTTTCCATTGCAGTGCACACAATCGTGTTCGACTCGACGATAGGGCACGATCGTGTTTGACTCGACGACAGAGCGCGATCGTGTTCGACTCGACGACAGGGCACGATCGTGTACGACTCCACGACGGGGCGCGATCGTGTTCGACTCGACGATCGTGTCAGACTCGACGATAGGGCACGATCGTTTTCGACTCGATGATCGTGTCGGACTCGACAATAAGGCACGATCGTGTTCGACTCGATGATAGGGCACGATCGTGTTCGATTCAACGATAGGGCACGATCGTGTTCGACTCGACGATAGGGCACGATCGTATTCGACTCGATGATGGGGAACGATCGTGTTCGACTCGACGATACGACACTATCCTGTTCGACTCGACGATAGGACACGATCGTGTTCGACTCGACAATGGGGAACGATCGTATTCGACTCGACGATACGGCACGATTGTGTTCGACTCGACGACAGGGCACAATCGTGTTCGACTCGACGATCGTGTTCGACTCGACGATAGGCCACGATCGTGTTCAACTCGACGACAGGGCACGATCGTGTTCGACTCGACGATGGGGAACGATCGTGTTCGACTCGACGATAGGGCACGATCCTCTTCGACTCGACGGTCCTGTTCGACTCGACGGTCGTGTTCGACTCAACAGTCGTGTTCGACTCGACAACGGTGTACGATCGTGTTCGACTTGACAATAGGGCACGATCGTGTTCTACTCGATGATAGGGCACGATCGAGTTCGACTCGACGATCGTGTTGGACTTGAAGATCATGTCCGACTCGACGATATGGCACGATCGTGTTCGACTCGACGATCGTGTGCGGCTCGATGATCGTGTTCGACTCGACGATCGTGTTCGACTCGACGATAGACTCGAAGATCGTGTTCGACTCGACGATCGTGTTCGACTCGACGATCGTGTTCGCCTCAACGATAGGGCACGATCGTGTTCGACTCGACGATCGCGGCAACCAAAAGTGTCACGTGGCGTTACGTGGTTGCATCCGGGCTTGCTGGTTGTGTCCTCACCGTCTGATCCTTCGAACTCGGGGTGCTCGGCTATGGCTGCGCGTCACGTTCTAGGTTCGTCTGCTTGCTCCGTCGTCACAACCTGCGACCCTCGACACCTTCGCTGTGGTCCGCCGTCTCATCACGCAGGTGGTCTGCTATGCACGGACCTCCGTTGCATCGCCACGTCGTGCTCGTAGTCTGCTGAGCATGAGCCTCCACTGCGCTGCGCCGTTGCTGCGTCGACGGACCTCCGCTGCACTACGCTGTTGCTGCGTCGCCGTTGCCCATCCGATACCGAACTGAACCGAAAATGGGAAGTGCAGGACCCCCTCCATATATATAGTTTTTCGGGTGGGCCCTCTGCACGCGCCTGCTGGCCATCCGATCCGAGAATGCGGATGGTCGGGATGATAGCTTGGTTGCAGACGGCGGTCCGGTGGTGAGGCCAGTGGAACGCCCTATTTTTCGCCCCGACGAATCTTAGCCGTCCATCCGTTGGTCGGCCGTCGGCCGCGATCGTTTTTCCCCCCTGGCCAAAGCGGAGGCGCGGGGATGACGTTCCGCCCAGAGCAAAAGCGCATTTCGCGCACATGAGTAGCCGCGACATTGTGTCAGTGCTCCGTTGTTCGCGTTCTGGGAGAATCAGCGCAGCGGTCCGCCAGCGTTAACACGACAATTAGGCCGCTCTCCAGGTTAGTGCCGCTTCCGCCAACCCGGCTCCTCCCCCCCCCCTCCCCACAAACCCCCCGCCCCCTCCGCGAACCAAAGAGAAAAGCCTCCATGGCCCGCCCTGTCCTGTGTTAGTTTATTGGTGACGTCAACAAATTTTCTCCAACACTTCTTTATGGCGTTTATTTGCGCAGGTCGTCATGTCCACCACAGTCGTCGTCGTGTCGAACACGGTCGTCGTCCAGTCCGACACGATCGTTGTCGTGTCCCACACGATCGTCGTCGTGTTCGTCGTCGTGTTGAACACGGTCGTCGTCGTGTCCGACACGATCATCGTCGTGTCCCAGACGATCATCGTCGTGTTCGTCGTCGTGTCGAGCACGATCGTCGTCGTGTCCAACACGATCGTCGTCGTGTCTGACGCGATGGTCGTCATGTCGAGCGCGATGGTCGACATGTCGAACATGATCGTCCTCGTGTCGAACACGATCGTCGTCGTGTCAAACACGATCGTACTGTCGTGTCGAACACGATGGTCGCCGTGTCGAGCGCGCTCGACGTCGTGCCCTGCACGATCGTCGTCGTGCCAAGCGTGGTCGTCGGACGAGGTCGTCGAACACGATCGTCGAACACGATCCTTGTCGTGTCGAACACGATCGTCGTCGTGTCGAACAAGATCGTGGTCGTGTCGAACACGGTCGTCGTCTTGTCGAGCACGATCGTGGTCGTGTCGACCACGATGGTGGTCGAGCACAACCGTCTTCGTCGTGTCGAACACGGTAGTGGTCGTGTCGAGCATGATCGTCCTCATCGTGTCAAACACGATCATCGTCGTGTCGACAACGATCGTCATCGTGTCCAGCGCGCCCGCCGTCGTGTCGAGCACGATCGCCGAGGTGTCGGGCAAGGTCGTCGTCGTGTCTAGCACGATCGTCGTCGTGCCGGGCGTCGTGCTCGTGTTCGCCACGACAACGACGCTGCGGCTCCCGGGTTCCAGGGAAGAAAAACACTGCTTCGTGTTCGGCAGGGCAACAGGCGCTGCGGGCTAACTGTTGTCCACGCAGAGTAGAGCGTGTGCCGTCTTCGACATGAGCTGTGCTATCTGCGGACTGTTAACTGTCATGTTGGGCAGCACAAGACCACGGACAACCGATGCCTCCATGGACGATATGATCGTCGATACAACCGCGGGGGTACGACCGGCCCCGCCGTCGATGCAGGTGCCGCGCCAGTCGATGTGGTGGCCACTATCCCGGACAACCCTTCACTTCCTGGTCGACGTCGTCCCGTCAGCGCGGGTCGGGTCGGACCGCCACCTTCGGGCGTTCCGCCACTGTCAGTCACGTTCGAGAGACCTGCTTCGACTTGCACGCGTTGCAAACAGTCCAGTGCGAGTTGCACCCGCAGAACATAGTACCCGGGTGATTGTGTTTTGTCTCTTGTTACACTAATTGTTAATTGGGATATTGTGATAATATAAAATGGAGTCCCTGTCGTGTTGGACATGACGGTGGCGTTGCCACAGTCGTTTGCCTGCTCAGTCTGGGGTTCTGGGAACCCGTCGTGTGCCGCGACCTATGTCGTTCTTAATGTTTCCTATCGATGCCCTCATGTGAAGCTGTGTGCTGCACGCCAGGGTCTTCGCCTTTCCGCTGTTGGTACCCGATGTGTTTTGCGCGTCGTGATCTCTGCCTTTCCGATGCTGATGCCTGACGTGACATGTGCTACGTTTCCTTTTGCGCGTCAGGATCTCTGCCTTTTCACTGCTGGTGCACGCTGTGTTTTGCGCGTCATAATCTCTGCCTTTCCGATGCTGGTGCCCGACTTGACATGTGCTACGTTTCCCACTCTCGTTCGATCTCCGACTTCGACAAACTCTTTTGTGTCTACTACGCCTTTTGCACAGATTGCCCCGATGACTGGACTGCTGAGTCCTCACCCATTGTCACAATTCATTATGCTTCGAACCCGGTCTCTGTGCCCTTGTAAATGATTCATCTCGATGCTCACATTCCAAGGTCGTGTGTTATCCCCGCTCGGATGTTTCCTGTTCCCCTCCGTCCCGCGTTTCTCGGTGTCGTTTATAGGGTTGTGTTTCTTGCTGTTATGTAGGGATGGTTGCCTGCTCCCTTTCAATGACCTCTGATTTGCGCTTTTGACATTGGTCCGCTGTTTTGTTGTCGCAGACACGTTTCGTATATGGCTTGTGGTGTGCATGCTATGCCACGGCAGGCTTGCAGCACAACCTTGGAAAGCATGGATTGTGTGGCATCGAATACAATGCTCAATGAGGATTTTCCTCCACCGCACCTGCCAATGTGTTCACAAGATGTTCGAAGTGGTCACGAACGTGTCAATAATGCTCTGGAATCTCTTGCTCATAAGAGGTCACGAAATATTGCGTGTGCGGTCACTACATGTAAAAGTGCGTATCCGGTCCTGCGCTGCCCGGTTCGAACCTCTGATGCGGAGAGTGCGGAAGGTCAGGAGGGTAAGGCCTCCTCTACTGACAACAACTCATCCGATGTAGACCGTGTTGTATGGGTGTCGAGGAGTTCACTTCAAGATTTCGAGTACACAGGTCTTCTGTTTGGTGAGAGTGATGAAGATGGTTCAGATTCAAGCGCTTCGGTGTCATCTAGTGCTGATAGTTCTCCAGATAAAACCGGTCATCCGCAAACGTACGCTGACCGGAACACTGACCACTGTTGTTGAAATGGCGATGAGAATTGTGATGTGATCTCTGATTTCGATGACATTTTCCCAAAACGTATGTCCTCAGAGAAGCGTCCTTATACTTTTCGTGTCAGAATGCCGCGGTCAAAGAAGATTCTGCAATCAGTTCATAGAAAACTCATCAAAAAAACACTGGCGAGTGTGCGTGGACAAGTTTGTTGTAAGCGAGAGTGTTGCGCTCAAATGATCCTGGAAGACATCAGAGTTGTCCGGAGTGCATACTACTCTAAGGACCAGCAGAGTAGGGATGCATGGTGGGTTAAAACGTTGAAGAGGTTCACCTTCATAGAAAATGAGAAGGAGATTGTTCAACCTACTGTGGGGAAACGAAAGGTGTGCATTAGTGCCTGGTGTTTCACACTAGGTGTATGTAGGAATACATTTCTAGAAAAAAGGATGACTTTGTCAAAAAGCTACATTATGCCAGAGCATGGCAGTACTGGGTTCAGATGCACATCAGCAACATATACGACGATGTACGGGAAACTAAGCTTCTTCGTGCCAGATAACGGAGATTCCATGCCCAATTACATGAAGATCAAAGAGGGGGAATCGAGAGTGGTGTTGAGATTGCCTGCTTGCTATAACAAGGTTGATATTTATAAGTTGCTAAAGTCGCAATTCGACAACATGGGTGCTCCTTCTGTTTCTCTCCAAGTTTTCTACAACATGTGGAGAACGCAGTTCTGGCATGTGAAATTCCATGACATTGATAAAAAAATGCGAGAAATGTGTCGAATACAAAAAATCTATCTATTCCGCAAAGTACTCACGTGTTCGTGAGTACTTTGTTTCGCTACGTGAGAAACACTTGGACTTGCAGCTCCAACATCGTGTTGCGTACGAGGTGTGGAAGGATGAGTCGAAGAGACCGGGTTCCGACAGTTTATGCATCATCATTGACGGCATGGACCAAAGCAAGACCAGTATTCCACACTTTGGCGGAGAGAACAAATCGATGACATTCGCAAATATTCTGATGTTGAAAACTAATTTAACAGTTATTATTGCACACGGCCGTTTACCATCGGTCCATGTTCACACATGGTACCCTTGCTATCCACACGATTCTACTGCTGTAGTGTCATCCATTATGAAAGTTTTGCGTGACATCCGGGCGACAAGCGACTTGCCTCCTAAACTGGGGATACAAGCTGACAACTGTTGGAGAGAAAACAAAAACAGATACGTTTTGGCACTTGTTGCAGCTGTGGTAAAATTTGGCTTCTCGGAAGACAGCGAGCCAAACCGTGTTCGGTCCACAGAAAGACGAATCCCCCCCACGACATTCCTAGAAGAACCGATCTTGCAAATTTCAGATATGGCTGATTTTTTGGAACCCCTTCGCACGTTATACGAGGGCACACTTTCACTTTGGGCTAGGTATCAGCAGATGAATCAGTACCTGGATCTTTTTGTCTCTCCGCCTAGATCATTACTCACGCAAGGAGCCATGATCGCTTTGATCAAACAAGAAGCAGAGGCTCCGATAAATGATGTTCCAGATTTCATGCAGGAAATGACCGGGTTAACAGGGTTGAAAATAGCAAAGAACACTGCCGACTCTGAAACCGACACCGAAATTAAAGAGACTGAGATGATCAGCCCGACCGGATCACAGATGATCGTCACCGTCTTCTCGGTCCGAACTAGTAGTTCCATGTTCTCTTGCGTGCACGATAGGCGATCACAAAGGATGGATTGGATCGAGATGCCCCTAAACATCCCTGATAACTTTGTGATTGCAATACCCAGTCATGTCCCCCGAGAAATCCAAAGATCCTTGATTGATGTTTTGTATGGGTATGCAGAGGTGATGAGTGTGCATGACAACGATATTGGATTATCTAATGTGATTGAGCATGCGATCCTCAATGGGGATCATCCACTGATTAGCTGCGCTCCCTATCGGTATTCGCCGGTGCAAAGAGCGGCCGCGTTTAAGAGGATCAAGGAGTTTGAAGCTAATGGATGGATCGAACCCGCTATCGGACCGTGGTCGTTTCTAGTACTGATTGTACCGAAAAAGACAGGAGGAATTCCCATATGCATCGATTATCGAAAACCGAATGATATCACGATTAAGGATGTGTATCCCCTCCCCCGGATCGATGAGTTGCTGGATGCTATCGGTAGTGCCCGATTTTTCAGTAAATTTGATATTCGTCATGGATTCCACAATCTCCTTGTTCAAAAAGAAGACCGCCCGAAAATGACGTTCATTCTTTTCGAAGGGACTTGGCAATGGGTTCGATGTCCGATGGGGATTTGCAACGCCCCAACCACGTTTCAACGCGCGATGAACATGACCTTCAAGAACTTCGTGCGAAAAACGCGAAAGCGCAGAGCATAATCAATTACTGTGTGATTGTGTATATGGATGATATCCTTGTGTTTTCAAGCTCCTATGAGGGGCACGCGCAACACATTGAATGGACCTTACACGAACTGAAGGACGCAAGATTCAAAGTGGATGTTGAGAAGTGTCAGTTTTTCCTCACAGAGATCTCCTTCCTCGGCCACGTGGTTACGGACCAAGGATTGCAGTCGGAGCCTCAGAAAGTGACAGTCGTGAAAGACGCGCCAGTACCGACGTCCGTAACGCAAGTGTGTGCCTTTTTGGGTTTGGCATCGTACTATCGAAGGTTCATCAAGGGGTTTGCGGCGATCGTGGGACCACTCACGAATTTGCTGAAAAATATCAGTCGTTAATTTGGACTCCGCAATGCGATCGGGCTTTCCGAGAACTCAAGGCGGCCCTGATTTCGGCTCCAGTCCTCATAAGGCCAGACCCGGAAAAACCCTTTGTCCTCATCCCCGATTGGCAGCCCGAAGCGGTCTCAGTGATCTTGGCCCAGGTGGGACCAGACGACCCCAAACATGTGGTGGAATACGCGTCCAAGTCAATGTCGTCCTGTAAACGCAACTACTCTGCCCCGACGGGGGAATGCTACGCGGCCTTGTGGGGGATCAGTCACTTCTGAGCATTCTTATATGGTCGGAAGTTTACGTTGGTGACCGATCACGAACCGCTTCTGGCACTGAAGAAGTCAAAGGATTACTCGGGCATGATCGGACGATGGGCCACCACGTTGCAGAGTATTGACTTTGACATTCATCATCGAAGACACGAGAAACACGACAACGCGGACGGGCTGACACGACTCCACCACCTCGACAAGGTACCCAAGAGTGAGGAAGTGATCCTTTGGCGCGATCCAGAGCCAAAGAACGAGCCTCAATACGGACAAGTGGAGATCCTGACGAAGGGTTGAGTGGACACGTGCACCCTGCCTCTCTCTCCCTCCCTCTCTCGGAACAATGGAAACTCCCCCTGTCTCGGTCTCTCCCACCTCTTCTGCTCCCCTCGCTCATTCGGACTTTCTCGCCAATCTCCCAGACAAGTTTTGTTATTTCTGCACGTGTATTTCCCGAGTTTATGGGGTAGAATGTTATCCTTTTGAGTATGGATTTACTGACTAGGTAGAATGCGCCACGTGTGTCAATCGTGCGCATGGCGCGTGTGTTCGATACAGAACAAGTAGTAAGGAATGGAGATGCCCACTGTGTAGAATGAACAAACTACCAACAGAGGTTCGATTCGAGGCTACGCGAACGGACGACCTTAAATACGACGAGAAGTATCGACAGGCGGAGGTATGGACGGATAAAATATTATTAGCTAAATTAGTTGGCCAACCGTTGGACCATCTCACTAAGCACGACAGGCGTCGGGCTACTGAAAGGTCCCGAGATTATCGATGGATGAACGGACATCTAGAGAAGCGTAAAACGGACGGATCGGGATTATGGTTGACGGTTCCCCATCCCTTCCAGAGATATGACTGGACTAGATCGGCACACGAAGAACATGCCGCTCATTTCCCAATACGTCAACTATTGATCAAAATCGATGGTTCTGGTCTAATATCCAGGATGATGTAAAGCACGAGGTTGCTCAACAGAAAAATTTCCCAGAATTAAATAATCATTCTAGAGTAAAATTACATTCTAAATTTTAAATTTTCATTCCATCTTAAAAACTGTAATTCCAATTTTAAAATTTTCCGTCTTACTTGAAAACTTTCCTTCCAAGAATGGGGTATCCCTTCTTATTTGAACTGCATGCTAAAGATGGAGTGAAAGTCTGGATGAGTTCATGAAATATTTTAATTGGACTGTCATTCTATGTAAGGATTTCCAGTCATAAATAGGTTAATCCAATCTAAATTAGACGATATTTGTTGTAATAGAATGAAAGTCTAATTAAAACATTTCATAAATTCGTCTAGACTTTCATTCCATCTTGAACAAATAGATGTAGTTGGAAGGGAAGACTCATATTTAGACGGGAACTTATCAAATTAAATTGAAAATTTTAGAATTGGACAAACATTGGAATGATAATTCATAAATATGAAGGATTTTTTTTTTTATGGAATGTTTTTTCAACTTTCATTTCTCATGGGAATTTTCTGTTGCTAACTGTCTAGTCTGCGCGGCCAACCATGCACCCATTCGTGAACCGAATACGATAGTCCTTACAGAAGTAGAACTACCTTTTAAGCGGGTCAGAATGGATACGACAGATATTGACGTACCAACTGGCCCCAGTCGCTGCGAGTATTCCATCCTCTTGGTATTAATCGACCATTTCTCAAAATATATCGAAGTTTACCCATGTAAGACCCGTAAGGCCTCAGAAATAGCCATATACATCGATCGATTCCTCAATACCCATCTAGGTACAGTTGAGATTCTAACCGATAATGGATCCGAATTCAAGGTTGAGATAGAGGAACTACTAATGCACTGTGGCGTTACTCTCCAACACACCGCTCCCCATATTTCCCAGTCGAACGGGTTGGCTGAGAATGCGAATCGCATGATTAAGACCGCCCTCCGTAGGAACTTAGCGGCTCGTGACGCGCGTCCTTGGCCCGAGATTGTGTATCTGATCGTCGGGATCCATCGAGCGACCCCTCATGAATCCACGGGGTTCACCCCCTTCCAGCTTCGAACCAATAGCCTTCCATGTGTCGATAATCGGGGTATCACCGAAATTGCCGAAAAAGGGGGCAGGGACATGCGTGCGGCCCTTAAGGCCAAAACGAAGCGGTATGCGGATTTGATGGAAAGAGTCATTCCTAAGCTAGCCCGGAAAAGACAAAAAATGACCGAACTGGCCCACGGAAGACAGGTCCATAGCTACGAGGCCCGGAATGGGAATGCAGGCCCACAATACCAATATAAGTTAGGGGATCTAGTGCAGGTACGCAAATGTGCACGCGACTGTAAACTCGCTCCCAAATTCTCTGGCTGCTTTCGCGTCGTCGAACTCGGCCCTAACGAAGCCATCACGGTGCGCATTGCGCCAAGGCCAGCGCCAGCCATAGCTCCCTTCCCATTGTCCGCCACACCTCCTACCTTCGCCCCCTCCCTCCTTCTGAAACCCCCAATCCATCTCCTTCTTCTTCCTCCAGCGCAGACGAGGAACTTGCTTCCTTTCCTTCGTCTGATTCTACCTCCCCCTCACCTTCGCCATGAGTTTTGTCATTGAGCCGGCTCTTCCACCCCAACTTCTTCAACCTCGAACTTTGTTGCAATTTCGCCAAGTCGCGCACCCCCGTCTCAGTCCCGACCTTCGCCGATTTGCGCAGCTCTTCAGCCACGGGGCTTGGTGCGCCGACGTTGAGATAACTATATCGAACGATCGAGGCTCAGCAGTCATCTTGGCAGAGGTGTCGGGATTTCATCGCTTCTCACTACCTACTCAGAGCGACATGACGGTAATCGTGGCTTTCAGTGACAATCTGTGTACCATCGGCTTCCAGCGGCGTGATGCAATAGTGACCAGTCTTTACGAGTGGGGGCAGGAGTTGGCGGCAGATTGGCGGCAGCGACTGACCCAGCCAAGGCGACAAGAAGTGGGGACTGATTGTATTGATACCTTCTCCCTTCGGACTAGCGCCACTGATCACCCCGCTCACCCGCTTCCCCATCTCCATCCCTACCCCGAGCGCCGATGAATCGTTTTTCCACCTTCTCTCTCCCCTCCGACTTTCCGACCATCTGGCCGTCTTGGGCCAACCCCCTTCTTAATCTGGAAATTCGTCCTGCCTCGACCGATCCATTCACTCCAGCCTACATCCGCAAGTGGACCAAATTCGCGACGGTGAGTGTGTGCATGCATGCTCATGGTGAAGTGCCACTGGTCGCGATATTATAGCAACCGAGAGTTGGAGCACAACCACGACATATCGCTGGTACTGGTGCAGCTGTGGCCGAAAGAGACGGCCACCGACGACACATTCGTAGGACTTATGTGCGGAGAAGTCGCTAAGAGCGATCGAGCAACCATCGCCTACGAGCTTCTCACGTTCTTGTCTCAGCTCGTCGACGACCTCCCGACGGACATCATCTCCTACAATCCAAGCGATCCAAGCCAGGCTGGACCTGTGACCCCGGAAAGGAAGTTGACGCCAACCGTAATCGGAGCGAATTGCACGGACGATTACGGGCAGTATCTAAGTGATCATGATCCTACAGTTTGGTGCTACTTGGACCTAGACGAACTTGCGCCTGATAACTCCGAGTCCGACTTCGACGAGTTTTGCAAGGCCCATCGGGAGAACGGGGAGCTGCCATCGGACGACGACCCAGGTCGCATAGCCATCACCGGGCTATCACAGGAAGAGGAGTCAGAAGCACGGTCGACGTCAAAGGAAGAAGAAGAGGTAGCAGCACCTGAGCCCCGGGAGGCTCCTCCAGCACGAGCATTGCCTGCCATCCGGGGAGGATCCGTGTTGAATCCTGCTGTTCCATCGGACGCCGCCAGTCGACACGATGGCGCAACAAACTCCCGCCGCCGCCGCCGCTCTCGCTCACCATCTCCCTCCGCATCCACCCCCTCCGCGCTTCCTCCCCGTCCTCCTCCTTGCCCGGACGTACCGTCCTCGTCCCGTCTTCCGCCGCCCCCTTGATTACCTCTCCTTCCGTGCCCTCCCCCACCTTGAATTCCTTGGACTATCACATCTTTGCCAGTTGCGCCTTCTGTCATCATTTCACCGCGCGACTCTTGTGTACGGTCTTTCCCCATCGCTCCCCCTCTTTTCACCTCAACGTTCTCCTCTTTAGCGTCGCCTGGGTACATTTCAACCATATAGAGTTGTACTGTATCGTCTCCGGCACCTTTCCCGTTGTGGAGGACTATGAGTCCCTAAGAGATAATGTCCTCCGCACCATCCCCTCCTTATATCCCGACTACCTACTATCCTTGTCCCGACCCAATCATCGCTTCCCCCGCGCACACCGGATCGTACACTTCGTCGATCTCGGCGATGAAGCGGCGGATTACTTCCCTCCGCTCCCATCTGAGTGGCCCCGACCTCTCCACCACCCTCTCCTTGTCGACTACCGGGGGGCGGACTTCCAATGATGGGGCAGGGGTGCAGAGCACACGAAGAATCAGCGGACGATGATGGCGTCACATGGACAATCTCCGGCGACCGAGAAGGCAAGGGGATTCCAGCAGCTCGAGCCAGCAGACTCGCGAAGATATTGCAATTGACGTTGGCGTCAACATGAACTCTGGCTCAACTCTCTGTGCTGATGCGGACACTTTCTCTCTTGATACGCTTGGTTCCTCATTCATCCTCTCTTCCCCCTCCCTCCTCCTCCGCTATGGCATGCAATGAGGAGATCGCATAAGTTTGGAACCCCCTGTGCGTCACATATGTGACGAACCAGTTTTCGGACCTGCGCCATCTTTCGGACCCCTTCCCTTCCCGTGTTTTCTCTGCATCTAGATGTGTCTTGATCGACCCCCGAGAACCCCCCTCTGTTTTTGTTCGATTAAAGGTACCTCGTCGAAATCTGTATGTTTGTCAACACTAATAGTTCTTGAAATTCCGTCATTTTTTTAAATTTGGAAATGCATGGGAATTATGCGCGCCTTAGCGCGCTCAGAATTTGGCTCGACAGTTAGGAATTCCGGAATTAACGGAACGTGGCGTGTCCTTTCACGCGCAAATGTTCTTGGCCTCGACATGAAAAACTCTCGGACTTTTGTAGGAATAGGGACGGGCATAGGACTTTCTTTCTTTTCCCGCGTCTACTTTTCGCGCGGATATGGTGATTTCAATTTTTGAATTGCGTCGGGCTGGGAAAAACTGTAACTGTTTCGGTGCCCATTTTTCTTTTGTTGTTCGACACCATGCAAATGAGTTTCCTCCTCCTTCCTTCTCGCGCTCCTCTCATCACCTTCCCTCGCATGCACATGCTTTCTCGCCCCCTCCCCCTGTAACTGTTTTTCTCTCTCCTTCCCCGCACGTGCCTTTTTTCTCTTTGAATTCTTGATCATCTGAATCTTGGATCCGTTTCGCGCCATCCTTCGCACTCTTCTTCTTCCCGCTCGAAAACCCGGTCAATCCTCTCTTCCCATCTAGCCAAGGAGAAGCGCAGTGTAAGAGGAGATTCCTACTGCGTGACGATTCGGATTTGCTAAGATCGGATTGTGAGGGATCAACATGGCTTTCAACGGGCGATTACCCTCAAGCCCTCCCTTACCCTCGTCTACCCTACTCTTCATCTTTCCCCGCATCTCTCTCCCTTCTCGCAACTATAAATTCCGTCGGCGCATCCACAAAACTCTCTCTCAATTCGTCAGCCATCTTCCAAGAAGCAGTGGCTAGATGATGTACGTGTGGTGCGAGTCGAAAAGTCCCGACGGGCTGACTATAGACTGGCTGGCTGTGAGCCTGATCACCACGACGGACTGTGGGATCGGGGCAAGCCCGCACAAAAACTAAGTCGGCGGGGTGACGATCGCAATGGTGGAAGGTGGCACGCGACGGCCGGGATCGTCGGTGCATGTATGAGGATAGTGAACAGAGTTGAGTGGATGAGTGGCCCGGGGCCATGACGGATCTTTACGGCGGATGCGCCTCCTTGTTTCGAGTCTATTCTTTGGTATGAGTGTAACTTCATCGCAGTTAAGCCGATAATTTTTTTTTTCTCTGGGTTTTTGTGTAATTGTCATGTATTGTACCCATATCGCACTTCTTCTCCCTACTTACCCTATGACTATGTATGTTTGTCATGGAATGGTTGCCTAACGGGCCGACGTTTTGATTAGCCAAGGGATGACGGGGCAGGGGTGCAGAGCATGCGAAAAACCGAGTAATGCATGGTAACCATTTTCACACCTTCCGCGATGAGTCACCACGAATGAAGATTGTCGTTGATGGACTGGTCTTTGATTAGGCTGAAGAGTTGTTGCAATAGGATGTATGAGAATGATTGAATTGTTGGCGAGGACAATGTTGTTGGGATTTTGTTCGAGAATGCAAGAGTGTTTAGATCTGTCGATAATGTGATTCGAAATGCCTTGCGCACAACCTGACAAGCGATCTGTCTTCTCAGAGAGAAGAAGGGCGACACGTGCGACCTGCATGCGAGGATCACCGACCGTGTCGCACCTGATGTGCGTACTGTCCCCACGATTTCTATATGAGAATTTCTTGGCGAAACCATACACCATTGCAAACGATCTCTTTCTCTCTCTCTCTCTCTCTCTCTCTCTCTCTCTCTCTCTCTCTCTCTCTCTCTCTCTCTCTCTCTCTCTCTCTCTCTCTCTCGTCCTGAGAAACGACGGAATGCTCCCACTCTGCTTCGCATGTTTCGGATAAATAAAGGCGATAAGCGGAAAAGCCCGATCGATAGACGGGGGATTAAAGATGAATGACTGATACCGACTCTTGCGATTGAGTGGATTGCCATGTGGACTGAAGGCCTCACTCGCCGGCCTCCGTACTCCTGCCACGTCCCTTCCCGTATAACGAGTAAAGGACACATGTATGCGAGTGGGACATACGAGAACCCATCGTCAAGATCGGCAGCCGATATTATTTCCCTCCCGAAACTCGATGCTCACGATTTGTCGGAGCGGGCTTTGTCATCATTGATACGCATTTTTCGCCTTATTCACTGCTACTACCATTCAACGAATTGATTGTCATTTTGTGGACGGCAGTGGCGCCCCATTGGCCTAACACTCTGTGCAGCGACTGTTGTCGCCTCGAGCGTTACTAATCAAAAGGCTTTCACTACCGTGTACGGAGTGAGGACGAATACAAGGAACAAGCTACGTGGTTGTGACCCTCCACGTCAGACTCTAAGTTGTGCAATGAGTGGCGTCGGGACTTGATCCGAAAACGAGATACCAAATGTGTACCCGCCCCCTTTCACGCGAAGCGAAGGGCAACGGCCCGCTGGGAAGTTCAACGATACTTCTTGGACTGAATTTCCCCGCACCGAACGTCCTGCGCGCGCCTTTCTCTCCCTTGACATCCGCATAGTGACGGACCCTCCCCTCTTACCAAGTTGGACCAGTACGGGGGACTTCGGTTCAGTCCATGTCCCCACACTTAATTTTCCAAAAATCCTTGGCACACCCCATCTCGCTATCTTTCTGGGGCCCCCTTCCGCAAATTAAACACTCCGAACGGAAAACAGCGTGTGATACGCAACCTCACGCCCCCTCGCGGCTTCCCGTACGGGGTCGCCGATCAGAGTTCTAGGAGGGGCGTGGCCGAAGATTTTTGGCCGTAAGGGTTTAGTCTCCCAGACGGAACGGGAGGCACTCGTTTCTTGGCCGAGGTTTTTCTCGGAGTCGAACTGTCGTCGCGAAGTCCCGTGGGGGTCGGACTACTCCGAAACGATAAAATCAGAAGGGTT